TCTGAAACCCTGGAGAGTCACTCCCTCTCAATGTTAAAACAAACAAACAAACAAACAAACAAACAAACAAACAGGCTACAATTATTGCTTGATATAGGCAACTTGCTATGTTCCTATTTGAGCTGGTGTATTCTTTTCATTGTACATTATGACTGAAAAACTCTGCTATGGATACTGAATGGGTTTCTAATATAACTTAAAGATCAAAACAGCTTAGGGCACCTTCCTATGCATGTTTAGATAGAAAAAAAGTTGTAGAATTCTCCATGGCTGGCTGGAGAATGCTGGAAATTGTAGGCCCTTTTATTAGTGTTGTGTCCTAATCTGCTTTATAATTACCTTAAAATAGATCTACTTTGTTTTTTAACAGATCATGAAAGTATGTTTCCAGAAGAATCATATTTTTGCTTTGCTTCTTTTCTTTCAGAGCACTTTCCTATTCTTTTTTCTCCTTGTACGTTCAAGCTATTCTGTTATAGTACTGCTGCACTTAGAGATTATGCCATGGTAAAACAGGAAAGTAAGAATTCTTTGTGTAGAGTTCAGATCTCACTGCTGTAATGCTACCAAAAGTAGAAAGAGTGACTAAGAGCTTTAAGTACAAATCCTAGCAATGAAGCTTAAAAGGAGAATTGGTTACCGTTCTTAGAATTAATTTCTATACTAAAAATCAAAATCAAGTTTCCTGCAATAGTCATTAACCTCTCCCCATTAGTGAGCAGAGTTGTTCAGTTAACCTTATTCTAAATTACTTTGATGTTCGATCACTTCCAGCTGTTGTTCAAAAATCATTGTGTAATCAATGAGTGCAGGCTCAGGGACCTAAAACCATCTTGTGTAAGAACTTGCATTAAAAAGTTGGCCATACAAATAACATGCTAAACAAAAAAGTAACGCTGAATTGGCAGATCTGTATTGAAAACTATCTCAAATGCTAAGGGAAAATATCTGGCCAGGGCGACTTCTTTTATATTTTTTATTTATTTTATATTGTTAATTTTAATTTTATATTGTTATTTTTGTATTTTATTGTATTTTATTGTGTTGTAAGCCGCCCTGAGGCTTCGGCAAGGGGCGGCATAGAAATGTTTTAATAAATAAAATAAATAAAATAAAAAATATTGAATGTTAATACCCTTAGTGATCCAGTTCATTTTGTTCAGTATTTGCTGGATTGGTTTTTCTTCATTTACTTTATGGAAAGGTGTCTGTGTGTTGGGAAAACACCAACCAATGGAACGCAACTACATGAATCAGATGATACTATCAATTTTACAGCTCCCATTCAATTCAGTAAGAATTTCTAATCATGTGAGATTTAATTATTTAACTGATGTAAATGTATATAATAATATAGTGGTAGTTCACAAGACAGAAAACATACTATGGGTGTACTCTTTTCCTGTGCAGACAAAACACCAGTGCTCAAAGGTATCCCCAGTGAACATACACTGCTGTGCACTATGCAGTGGAGTATTATAGGGAATAAGAGGTCTTGACATGTCTCCCTTACCTCTTTCTCCGCCCTTCTTGCTTTGTTTGGTTAAGATAAATGAGCTCTGAGCAGCAACCATTCTATGTGAGAAAAGGGCAAACACTAAGATTGTGCCTGCCGACTATAGTTGTAACAATTTACTTTATTTAGGTATATAGTACACGGATGATTCTGGAACACTGTTTTTCCTAAATCAAAATCAGTTCACTAATCATCACTAACTCTTTGATGTACTTTATCTGCCCTTGTGAAAATGATTCTGAAATGCCCCACTGATCTTACTTCATTGTTTCTTACTCCTGCTAAAGAGGTTTGAACTAGATGTGACAACAGACCCATTTGCTTAAATCTGGGTGTGCCCATCTAGAAGGCAGCAGGTTAGCAGAGCTGCGTACCCCCCACCCACATTCCTCCTTTGCTTGCAGCCAAGAAATTGGAAGACTGAAATCTAGAAGGCAGCAATGAAAAAAGTATAACATATCTTCAAGTATTAGGACATTTCAAGACCAAGTCCAAGATCAACCACACTATTGTCTTCACAATCACTATGTACAAGTGCACAAGCTGGACAGTCAAGAACACTGACAGAAAGAAAATGGATGTATTCAAGGCATGGTGCTTAAGAAGAGCTTTGCAGATACTCTGGACCGACAGAAAAATGAACAAGTGGGTCCTAGATCAAATCAGGCAAAAAATTGTCCGGGAAGCAAAAATGACAAAATTGAAGCTGTCATACTTCAGGGACATTATGAGAAAGCAAAATTCACTGAAGAAGACAATGATATTAGGGAAAATGGAAGGCAGAAGAGGAAGACCAAATATGAGATGGCTCAGTTTCATAAAGGAAGCCACAGTCTTAAGTTTACAAGAGCTGAGTGGAGCTGTGAAGGGCAAAACATTAAGTCAATGGTGACTTGCTGCAAAGGACCACAACGTGGGCAGATCAGTAGTAAGGATCCTCTGGTCCCTGGGCTAAACCCAGCCCATGGGGCTTCCGCATAATGTCTGCAGCCTCCCCTTCTTGCCCCATCCTACAGAGTAATTATATTTGAAAAATGTCTTCCACAGGAGCCAATAGAAGGATTTCTCAGGTCTAAATGCCACATGAGGAAGAAGCGCAGCTCAGCTTACAGTTTTGTCTGCTTCACTGTTTGGTCTTGTTGTCACTGAATTTGGAGATGATAAAAGACACATAACCTTATTGCAAGACATATTATAAAAGACACATAACCTTATTGCATTCACAGCATTAGACCAACCATGTAAGCTACAATAGACAAACTTGGTTCTGAATCACCTTGCCAGTTAGCTACCATGATAAATGGGTGGCTAGCTTCCTTATATATCTCAGGTACTAAAACTGTGCTTCTGTTCCTTAAGGAAATGTACAGAGCTGAGCTGAGCAGTTTCTGTGTTCTTCGGGGGGAGTTCTCCAATTCCTGGTTAGGAGCAGAATGTTTATTTTGTTGTACAATGAAGTCCCCTATCTGTAGATCAGGCTCCAAAATCAAGTAATCAGCACTTAGGAAGACAGGTTTCAGAGTCATAGAGCCTGTATAGTTGGACAGGGCCGGAGCTTAGCATACAAAACACTCCAAAAATGTGATAGAAACATTCAGAATTATTTCATACACAACTTTTGAAAATTGATTTCTTGCTTTTTAAAAACTGGGGCAAATGTTTTAGCATTCATGGCAGGGTCTGCTGGAGTCCAGACAGATTTGTTTTGTAGGCCAAATCTGCCAGATAATCATTTCATGCCTAAATGGAAAATAGCAAGAATCCCTCGTGTGAATGTGTGGTGATCCAGCAGGTTTGTGGCTATGGATCCAAGCAGTAGGCACAAGCTACCGAACCACACACTCACAGCTTCACGGTGGCACATGTGCAGAGTGGAACTCCCATCACCTACAATTCTTAGCCAGTGTGCCTGTGCATATTGTTTGCTGGGGAACTGGGGATAGCACACCGTCCAGCTTGTGGAATCCGGTGGACAGCTGTTCGGACACTGTGTGAACAGTATGCTGGACTAGATGGACCATTGACCTGATCCAGCAGAACTCTTCTATTTTTAACTCGTAATTTCTCTCTACTCCCAATTTGATTCACATAAGCACCTTTCCTGTTGGAAATTTGCAGTACCTAGACTAGAGCAACCACAAATCATGAGGCAGGCTTGCAAGCATGCCCATAGTGGGCTCACAATTATTTATGTATTTATTTAAACCTTTTGTACCCCATCCACCACTGATGTTTTGGGATGGTTTACAATAAGGAGGGTGAAACAGGAAGAAGGGCCTAACAGTTGCACCCTGTCTCTGGAACATGCTCCCCAAGAAGGTGCGCCTGGCAGTATCCGTTTTCTTTTCAGTATCAGGTGAAATATGCCAGAGATATTAATAGATAAGATTTGTTTCAATGCTGTTTTTATTATATCTCTGCTATGCCACACTTTCATTTTCTTAATAGCTGTAAGTTGTTACTTTTGTCATATTGTTTTTATTGTTGTTAACCTAAATGTATTGTTGTTTTTTAAAATAACTTTTAACCTCCGGGAGAAGCCAGTGGGCTACGAGGTGGTAAAATAATGTAATTTACAAATAAGTCGTGTGCTTGCAGTTCTTGACCGGACCAAATGAATTCCCCTATTTTCCCCTGCAAAGCAGTAACTTCAAGCAAAACCAGCGCTTTGGGACTTCAAAGAAGATCCCAGGTCAAACATTACAAAACCTCTTCCACTTCCTTTAAAAAACCTCGAGAATCAAAACGGTCATGATGCGTGTACGTGCATTTCCTGTCATCTAAGGGCTTAAAGGTTTTAGGAAGCGCAGAAAGCGCGACTAGCCAGGACGCCTACACAAGAGCAGTAGGGGAGGGAAAGAGCAAAGCGGGACGCGAAGCAGTCCTGCGGCTCTCCACGGCGTCTCTCGAGTTTTAAGTTTCCCAGCTCCATCTGTTTCCTTCACTTTCCCCTATTCTTCCAGGGCTGCACTTGAGCCGCCCGCTGCTCCCTAACAAAAGCATCGGAGCGGCTCTCCTCACAGTGGAGCCACTCCGCCCCAGGCTACCCAGGTACCACAAGGTGGGAGGAAAAACACAAGGAGGAGCGGGGTGCGGAGGAGGCGGCGGCGGCGGCGGCATTGGCGGCGGGGAAATCAGCCGGCGCAGGCACATCCACCGCGCGGGACTCAGAGCGCGCCGAGTATAGCGCCAACTCTCAGAGCAGGGCTTAGAGCTGATTGGCGGGAACTCCAGGCGGGCTCCCCTTCAGCGAGCGCCTGATTGGCCGGATTGTAAAAATATGTTGCAGGGCGCCAGAATAGAAGCTTTAGCGCCTAGTGGAATCTCCAGAGCAGGAACGAAGCGGCCAGTATAGGCACGTCGCTGGCGGGCGCCCGGGCGGGCATCAAAGCAGCGGTTACGAGGTTCGGGGTTCTTCTTTCCCACGGAATCCCCTCAATGCCCCTTAGGCGCGGCGTCGTCAGCGGTGGCTTTATAGGGCCCCGAGGCTCTGAAGGAAAGGGACCCCTTTGAGGAACACGAGAGGGAATCCCAAGGAAAGTAAGTCCGCATTCCCGGAGGGTCCGGGGCGGGAAAGCGGGAGATGGGTTCGCCTAGCCTTACGGGGGCGGGGGTGCCTTGGCTTTTCCTGCGCCTCGTTCCCGGGGTTGTTAGGGGCGGCTTCCCCGCCGCCGCCCCCTGGCCAAAAGGCGGAGGGGCAGAAAAACATTTTCCGTAGCATTTCCTCCACAGGCTTTCTTGCTGAACATGGAGGCGGGAAGGTGCCCCTCTGGGTTGGTCGCGGACTCTCCCGCGCTTCAGGCAGGACATGCCAGATTGTTGAGCTGCGAAGTGGGCACTCCGGGGTCTCGTTCCCATTCAAGGCTGGGATCCCTCTTGTTCAGCCTCTTTGCGCCAAAAGTAACCGATTCCGCCGTGAACTTTATGAGCTTCAAAGACAGATTCGCCAGAAATGTCCTCTACTTGAAGGGTATCCCACGGCCAATTTTTGACCATTTCTAGTTGTGAAGACCGTTGCTGACGATTTTACCCTTTCTCAACCTCACCTGCCCCCGATACGATCTTTTTATTACTTTAGGATCTGAGAAGTATAAAGATCTCATCCTCATTTTTAAGGATTTCAAATCAGTTTAGAGGGGAAAGGAGAGACAAGGATAGTTAGGATCTGAAAATTATTTTTTGGGTGGTAGGTGATGTAAGATGATGAAGTTCTTGTGCAACTCTCAGGTTTACAGATGGAGGCGAATTGCTTAACACTAAAAGACCTGATTAGCCCGAGACACACAAGGATAAATTTGATAGATGAAGATGGGGAGAGTGCACAAAAGGTAAGCAGCCAAAACTGGGTGGATAAACTCTTGAGTTCTGTAGTGGTAAATTTGCTCACTGGGCTTAAGCGTTGGTTTAAATTGTGCTCCGTTTTGTCACCATGAGCTTCGAATTGTATTGGAACTGATATTTTCAGTACTGTTTAGCCTAGTTATTATTTCGTAAAAGGTTTGTTTAGAAAACTAAAAACTATTTTCATCTGATTACAGTTACATGTGATAATTGTTACTAGTTCCAGCCATGTTTTTTCTCTCTCTCTCATACACACAATTCAACAGTTTTTTGCACTACTTCAGTTGGGCAGCTTCCTAACTTGCTAAATGTTCCACTTGGACAACTTATAGCTTCTTTCAGCTCTGATCTCATGGAAAGTCAAGGAGTTCATCCTTTTAAGGAAGTTGTGAATCATTTATTCTAGGCTAATTAGTTGGAGTTTTTACACAACACTTTAAAGATGGGATCACGAATCATTAAGTTTGCCATAGTCTCAGCATGCTTGTGATGAACTTAGGCAGTACATGTTACCTGGACATTAGCTGAGCAAAGTGGTCACTGGATGGTCATTCTCAGGTGTCAAATGTGACACTGTGAACCACGCAGTCCTCTCTCATAAAGTGAAGGAGCTACATGAAAGTTCACCTGAGAATACTGCCTCGTGGATTATCCCAACATTCTTGTTCTACCTTTCCACAGGGTATAGGGCTTTGATTGGAGCAGTAGTACTTGGGGAAGGGGCTCTTATTTTGCCTCCGCATCTGAAACATCCATTAAATAAATTGGAAGGTGGGAGATTCAAAAACTCCACACACATCCCAGCACATGTACCTATGCACAGTGGCAGCTTCAGAGTGGGGTGGGGGGGAGATGACTGTAAAAGCCCTTCCTCTTAAGAAAATTGGGACTCTACATAACAGTGTTAAAGTAAAAATTAAAATGTCTTCAAATCCCATGACTGAGCTCCTCAAAATAATGTGATCTAGATCCAAGGCTGTTGAATGGAAGCTCCTATTCTCTTTTACTTCAATTAACTTAAAGTAATTAATTTTACTTTAATTAAATGGATGGATATAGTTTGTCTGCTTAAGCTGCCATTTTTCAGGTGTAATCATATGTAAGTTTAGACAGAAAAAAGTTCCGTGCTGGCTGGGGAATGGACTCTTTTGTTTGTTTAAACACGCATAGGATTACAATATTAATAGCTAGAAACTACTGTGGAGCAATAAGACTTTAAATTTATATGCAGCATGTTTAAACACAAAGAAGAAAGATCAGTATGCAAAAATATGCAAATAATTTTTGTCTTTTGACTTGATAGATTTTTGATGTGGTACTTGATAGAAAACAGCAAGATAATTCATAATTGCTTGCACAAAATTGCTTGCCACTGCATGTATCAAACCATTCACATTGCAGAAATACATTTGTCTTTCTTCATGTCATTCCTTATCTACACATCTCAAACCAACCGAGCAGGTATTGCAAGTCTAGATAACTGTTGACTGCTGTGGAATATTTCTTTCAGAATGAGAGTAATCCAGTAAGGTTTCCCAATTCCCAGCAATGGCACAAAATTTAAGAAAGAAGCATTGAACTGGTGCAGCAATTTGCATTGACACAGATATGTCAGTAATGAAATAATACCCTAGAATACCCCAAAAACTAAATCTGACATACCATCCAAAAGCCATTTTAGCCCTCAGAAATGTGGCTACAGATTGAAATTCCCATGAGAAAAGATCATGGGTGTTTGCCATTATGCAAAGCTGCGTGTGAAAAAGCTAAAAGTAATGAGTCTTTTAAACCTCTGCATGGTTTAAAATAACATGGTGGATTGTAGTAATCTAGGCTTACTGTAGAGGATTGCCTTTCCTCAGCTCAGAATTTTGAATGCTGCTCATAGATCAGACATATCATACTGAACAGGTTGGATTTATGAAGAGGAAGGGTAAATCCAGGGGTTCTTAGTGGGCTTCTGACAAGGTGTGTGTTCTGCAAGTGCCCAATCTATGTGTATAAGTATTTGATCTATACTCCACCTTTCCAGCAAAACATGGTATCAAGGTGGCTTAAGCAGTTAATGCCAACCCTGGTAGGTAGGTATCCCTATATATGTGTGTACATGTATATAGCCATGAGGAATGCTTACATTTGGCTCAAAACTTTCCTCCTGTGCCTTCTGTTTTTAGTATGCGGAAGGTGGGTCTAAGCGTAGTCCCTCTCATCTGTGTCCCAGATTTTAGAATGTTTACCATCCTGTGGAACGCTGTTGGTTTGTTGGCACACTGTAACACCCCACCATGGTTTAATTTACCCTCGGGGGCTATTGTGTTGCACCAAATGCTGCAGCCATGATGCAGAAATGGAGCCTGGCTCTCTGTGGCTTGATATGCCTCAAACAACCATCTAGGTTTGCATGACACAAGCCATGCAAGCTGGGTGCACATGGGGATCATGCAGAAAGGCATCTGCAAGTCCCTGGTGCACTGCAACAGCCCCCATGGATATGTTAAGCTGCAGTGGGCTGTTGTGTCATGCAAACCAAGTCAGCATTAGATACTGAATAGGCCATTGCTTTAATGTTGACATATGATAAGACCCTGCAAACTATTACAATATTTATAACAGCAGCAGCATTGATTGGTTGTCCCTCTACCTTTCAACCAAACTAAACTATTTTCTCTTTCTAATAGGAAAACATATTTGATCGACCCAGAATGACCCCAAAGACTCCCATGAAAAATGAACCCATTGATTTGTCAAAGCAAAAAAACTGCACCCCCGAGAGGAGTCCAATTACACCTGTTAAGCTGAGTGATAGGCCCCTGGCAGACCCATGGACCCCCACAGCTAACCTGAAGATGCTTATTAGTGCTGCTAGCCCTGACATGCGGGATCGTGAAAAGAAGAAAGAACTCTTCAGACCAATTGAGAACAATGCATTTAATGACAGTTTTTCTGATTGCTTGCAGGTAAGAGACTGGTTGCAGAAAATTTGGGCAAAATTGTTAGTAATTTGAGAGCTGCTTATATAATAATCTGTTTAGCTGCATAAAATAGCTGCCAATGTGCTTGTTAAATTTATGTCTTGCCTTTCCTCCAAGGAGCCCAAGGCAGCATGCATAATCTGCCATTTCCTCTTATCCTCAGCATCCCTGAGAGATAAGTTGGAATGAGAGTCAGTGATTGGCCCAAAGTCACCTGGGTCTCTCCAGTCCTAATCCAACACTAATCACTACACCACACACTCCCTGGATGTGTGAGGAATTTGTGTTGGGGGTGGGATTCCATCAGATTTCCTTAACTAGGCAACCTGGACTCCTGCCTGCTTTCTCTCTTTCCTAAGTCCATCTCACACTAAACTTTTCCATAGGCATCTGGCAGGAAGCGAGCTCAGACAGAGTTCTGCTTCTGTGCATGTGACTTGTGGGTCTTGTGTACTTTGCACAAAGAATCTGCTGGTGTTCTCCAGCATTTGCAGGCTTGACTTCAGCTGAACTTTCATCCTGGCCTGTTGGCACAAGGTTTTGTAGAAAGAAGTCGAGCAAGTGCAAGAGAGCCATATACTGACCCTGGAACTCCAGATTCCTATTTGGAGTTTTGCAGATCTACTGTATTTGAGTCAAGGATGCTCTGCTGTAGACTGGAGTTTCCATAAAGAACTAAATCCTCTCATTTTAACCAGTAGCCATCAGTATCATGCATACTTTTCAGACTGTTAATCGAGTCCCTGACATTTCTCACAGAACATCCAGTGCATCCTTGGAAATTGCCTGGTGCTCTGGTTTGGTTGTTGCTCTCAGCATTTATTCAAACATTTCCTGCTGATAGAATCTGATTCACCAATGTGTTTGATCACTGCCTACTGGCTAGGAAAGAATAAGGCCTTCATTTTAACATTAACATCAAACCTTCAGTTTACATTTTCATTTTCTCTTTAGTTATTCATAATTTATTCTATATGAATTTCTAGTTTTTCTTTCCCATCAGGGACTTCAGATCATTTGTTCTGCTTTAACCCTTCTTAGACATCTTACTTTCTATGTTTTTACTTGTCATTTTGGTCTATTTGGTCATAAGGTACTTCCTTTGTGCAAATGCATTGATACTGCCTGGAAGTACAGGGGGCGCCAAAAATATAAACACTGAAAGAGATGTTATCTATGTATTACTTTTCAAGGTTGAACTGAATTATGGTAGCAATGTGTAGTATGCTGTTTGCTCAAAAGATGGCATTAATCAAATGAATGCTGGCATCACCATGCAACAGTTTTTAATACAGTTTTTTTCCTTTCTTAAAATGTGTATGCATTTTTGTCACCCTCTGTATATGAACATGACATATGACTTAGAGTTTATGAACATACACATATGAAAAAAGTTTTGTTTTGGTTTTTGTTTTTGTTTTTGTTTTTTGTTTTTGCTTTCCAAATGTCATGATGACTTCTTTTTCTTTTACAAAGTTAAATACTTTCATCAGCAGGCAAAATAAATTGCGATTGGTGTAATGACTAATAAATGACTATGAGTCATTCTATAGAATAACCATTGCCAGTTGTTTCCAAACCTGCAAAATATCTGCACTTGATCCGGTTTTCTGAATTGGTGCTCAGGTCAACTGAAATTTAGTATATAATTTAATTCCATTTCCTAAAGTTCCTGATTTTTCTGAATACTCTGAACACTTTCAGTTCAAAACATGAATGCCTGTGTTTACTGGCCACATACATCTTGCTTCCCTGTGATAACAGCATTAATACCTGTTACTTTTCTATAGCATTTCTATTGTTAAATAAACATTGCCACTTCTTTTAAAATGCAAGATTGTTAAGTCAAAATCTGTCTGCACTATATGACATTCATTTTAAAAGTTCTCTGAGAGGAAACTAAAGACTTACTGGGAATTGTCACTCTTAGAACCTCTCCAGTGAAGATTGCTTTCATGTGTTTTCAGGAAAAATGAAAGCCGAGGGTCCTTTCAACATTCAGGACTAGTTTAACAGATTCCCTTGCAAAGAAGCACTTGTTGCACTGCAAGCCTTTCAAATCACTTTCTTAGTGTGTTTGAAAGTCTTTTGTGGTATTAAATTTGAGCTTCTGGACTGCGGAGAAGATACCTGTCGATTTCTCCTTTTTGCCCTTTCCTTTCCTGTCTTGAGTTGTATCTTTTAGACAGCTGGGATTGCTACGTCTTTAATTGATGAAAAGTGCTTAGTAAATTGTAAGCAATTAATTATTTTAATGTTGGCCCACAGACCTCATTTGAAAGGGTCCAAATTTCAAACCAAAGCAAGAAGCTCTAGAGGTATTTTGACCTCTTCTGAAGTAAAACAAGTCTTTCCTGAAACAGTTCAAAGCAAAGTGGATTGATCCTGAAGTTTTGGAAGATAACTGGACAGTGGCTTGGATGAAAGTGTTGGGACTCTGCAAACCGTCCCAGTATAAACACCTTAAAAGTAATCTTGCAGGTATAGGCTGTGCCATCAAAGACCACTCTAAAAATACATATTATATGTCAAAGGAGGAAATAAAATTATTGTACCCCAATGTGGAAGAGGAGACAGAGCCTACCCCTTCAAAGAAACTTGTTACCCCAAGACTCCTTTTCAGGGAGGTATGTTTCCCTCTACCCCAAACCATTTTTCCATGATACTAAACTGGGGAGCCACAAAGATTTGGATGACAAATGAAGTGACACTCCTCTGAAGAAATCCAAGGCAAATTTCCTATTTATCCAAATTGTGCAGAAGGCTGGGGAACTAGCCTTAATAGTTTATGTGCTTTTACACCCATAATAATATGTCCCTAAACATATTTCTCATGACCACTAATAGATCTTTGGGTAGGCAGTTTCATATAATCTAGACTTCAGGACTTAACTTTATAATCTGGCATACTAACAGCTACATGTATTTCATTTCTCTTCTTAAAGTCTGTATCTGATGCATTATAAATACAAATATGTTACTAGTGCTGTTGCCTCCTATAAAAGAGTGCAATTTTTAAAAAGAATAATCATTGTATATTTCTAGTGTGATACTGTGGATGATGGAACAACAGATGAATATGAAAAACAGAGACCGAGCAGGAAGCAGAAAAGCTTAGGATTGTTGTGCCAAAAATTCTTAGCTCGCTACCCCAGTTATCCGTTATCAGCAGAAAAAACAACAATTTCTTTGGATGAAGTGGCTTCTAGTCTTGGTATGTAAACAAAAAAAAATATTCCTGATGAATGTTTTAGTGACCTTGTCAAGGTGTGATCCACCAGGCAATTCTGACAAGTCTCATTTCAGTAGTTTAGGGTGTAATTCTATGCAAGTTTAGGCATATTAATCCGGAACTGGTGAATGCAGACTGAACCAACTCCTTAAGAATCTCTAAATGATCTCTGAGCATTTAGAAAGAATAAATAAATAAATAAATAAAGCATGCACTTTGTGCAGAGAACAGTGCCTCAGGCAGTATTGTATTTTCAAATAGTATTTAAGAAAAAAAAAAACCCTGTAACTTTTAGGCTGCCGCTATTCTTGTTTCTTGACATGGAATTTGTGCATAGAAGCTACACAGGATCCCACTGATGTTCAATTACCTCAATAAGGGGGTTATTTGGGGTTCAGTCCTATTAATTTTAGATAGAGGCCTACAACTCCCAGCATACCATGGCTAGCACATGCTTGGAGTTGTTGGATTTGTTTTGTCTAAACTCACACAGAATTGCACCGTAGATGATACAGATACAGCTTTTAGTATCAAGGTAGCACTAAAACAAATGAACCACCAACGTCTCTCTCTCTCTTTCACACACACAAATAAACAGTTTTACTGGATGGTAGTTCAGTTGCAGCTACCTTTATTTATTTATTTATTTATTTATTTATTTTTCCATTTATATCCTGCCTTTTTCCTACAAAGGGCTCAAGGCAGCTTACATCTCCTCCTCCATCTTATCCCTTGTGAGACAATCTTAAGAAAACAGTTAAAGATGAAATCTAAATAGCATTAATAAATAACCAACTTAAACACAGTTACTTGGAAACAAGTTCATTATAATTACTAGGCCTTTTAAGTAGATTACTTCATGATTGAAATATAACGATGAAGGTCTGTAGCTCAGTGGTTGAGCATATGCTTTGCGTGCAAAAGGTCTTGATGGACTGATGGCCTAAAGGGTATATAAGGTAAGCTCATCTATGTAATATGTAGGGTTATTTTTCATGTTTGCTATCCATATAGCAGATTTTTAAAAAATAGATTTTTGACAGTGTTTAGGGTAGATTTTTATTGCCCTTTACGACACAGAATTTAATGAAAAATGCATTGAGAAGTGACAGTACCAAGAAACACAAGTCAGGCTGTAAGCTGTTTCTACCATAACCTCACAACCCAAATCTTCTTCTAAGGCAAAGTACTTTGGGATCTCTCAGATTACATAAAGCACCATTTTAATAGTTCCTTAAATGGAAATTAATGCTACTGTCTATGGTTTAGAGTATTGGTGGAAGCACAGGAACTGTGCTTTGTCCTGGGGTATGACTAACAGGAGGATGAATCTACATGTTCTAGGTAACATGTCCCAGGAGAACTTGCAGCCCTATTGACCCTCATGTCAAGATAATAGTTTGAGAAAGATGTATACCACAGCAAGCCTTGACTCTGTGCCAAAAACCAGCAGTCTGAATTCTTTAGTCTGTATTCTAAATTCTGCTTTAATACAAAATTATTGTATTATCTTAGCCAATCATTGCAATCAACTCTAAATAATTCTTTCTATGAAGACTTGCTGTAGCATAGCAGTTTACTTCTGTTTACATAGATATTTTAAGGATCATGACAGATATTTTAAACGGTAGCACAATAAGTCTTACTGGCCTCCATGTTGTTTTCAGCTAAGTGATAGTGTGCATCATTAACCATGGGGGGCGGAGGGCGGGAGGAACAGAGACCCCTTGACTGCAGGAAGATTACCAAACAATGTAGTATTTATTCAGATCTTCAGAAGGTTTATTCAGATTTATTTATTCAGATCTTCAGTAATAGCAGCCTTAGTGCCAAAAGCTTATTGCTTGGCTCTTAAGTAATTACATGGTTGGCATTGTGTAACATGGTAATTCATAGCCAGCAGCTTATTCTTCCTTGGATTGCTGCTGTTCTCAACATAGTAAAAACATAGTAATAATTATCTTTTATGCACTTGTGTATAGCAAACAGCCATGTCATTCTAAGAGATTGTGTGAGTGTCTGCAGATGAAAGGTTATGTGAGGCACTGGCTATCTATGCAGGTTTTCACAAGATAAAGCCAGGGAAGAGAATGTGTTGGGAATCTAGAGCCGTCATGGTTCCATGTTTTTGTACTTATATGAACATAGATCAGTTCAGCAGAAACAGCTATATTGGTTACCATCCATATTAAAAGTAAGACATAAGAGTGGTCATATGAGATGTCTCCAGGTGAGAGAGGATCTTGGTAGATTCATTAGGGTTCTAATCCCAATCCTTGCATATCTGCTCAGAGGTATGTTTGAGTTTGGCAAGGCTTACTCTGAGGAAGTATAATATTGTAGCGCGATAACTGGCTCAGGTATATGTGCTTCGGAGTTGCATTCTATTTCACATCCAAACAGACTCTGGAGCAGTGAACAATGTGAGGTTAAAACAAATACAAGACTCAAAACAATACATTGAGACGTTTTAAAAATAACAGTAACATGGTGGCTAGTTGGCAAGAAAAGGCTTCCCAGAATAAGATTGCCTTGAGCAGGCCCTGAAAACAGCAAAGGGTTGGTTCCTGCCTGACGAATGAAAGCAGGGCATTTGAAAGAAAGGGGCCATTGCACTTAAAGTTCTTCTGGTGGACTCCACTTAGGACATACATCCAATGAAGAATTAATCACCAGACAGGTTGGTAAAGGAGTGTGGTCCCAAGTTTAGTGCTAGGCTTTGCACACTAGCACTAAAACCATAAGCATGGCTTGGTAGTGAGTTGGTAACCAGGGCAGTTCCTTTAGCAAGGGAGATGCAAACTGAAAAGAGGCAGCTCTTGGCAACAGTAGAACCTCTGCATTCTGTGCCAACTCCAGCTTTTACAGCAGCCCTAAGGGTAGCCCTACATAAAATACATTGTGGTAATCCAACTTTGAAATTATTCATCCATGTATCACTGTGGCCAAGTTATCCTTGTCCAGGAAAGGCTGTATCTGGCAAATCAATGAGGATTACGGGGCACTGTGCCCCACTATCATTACTTGGGACTCCAATAACAGCAGCAGATCTAGGAGTACCTTCAGACTGTTAACCTGATCTTTCAGAGGGAGTGCAATCCCATCCAGAACATTCACCCACAGGACTTCTCTTTCCAGGATTTAACTTCAGTTTATTGGTCTTCATTTATCCCATCTCCGAGTACAACCACTGATCTAGGATTTGCACAACATTTCCTGGTCTAGTTATCACAGGGAGACAAAGTTGTGTGTCATCAGTGTACTGATGGCACTTGGCTCCAAATCCTCTAATGTCCATCATGGTAGCTTCATATGACTGTTCAATAACACTGGAGAAAGAATGGTACCCTGCAGAACTGCATAGCTCAGTTGCCAGGGGTTTGAGGAACAGTTGCCCAGAGTAACAGTGTTACTCTCTGGAATTGACCTCACAGCTAAGACCAAAACCAGTATAACTCAGTGCCTCCAATACTTAATCCGCACAGTCTGTTTAGGAGGATACCATGACAGTGGTATCAAAAACTGATGAGAGGTGGATTAGAATTAGCAGGGTTGCTCTGCTTGTCTCTCCTGATAAAGGTCATCCATCAGGGCAGCCAAGGCTGACTTGGTTTCATACCCAGGTCAAAACCCAGACTTCAACGTATCTGCACAATCAATATCCTCAAAAGTGCCTGCACTTGTTCTCAAGTACCATCTCTAAAAAGCAGTGGCATTTGGTGCTGGGTTCTAGTTAGCAAACACTGTTGAGTCCAGGTGAGATTTTGGAGGTGTGGTCACACTACTGCCTCCTAGAGAACGGCTTTAGAAGTCTAATGGCTTCTGTGCTTAGCATATAGTGGCCATTTCTTGAAGCTTGTTGTATAATGAGGCAAGAAAGCCTCCTGGGCAAGAGGTTGAAGACTAGAGTTAAAGAGACAGAAGGAGAATCTGGCAGCCTCCCTCATAAACAAATTTCTCTGTCTTGGAGAAGGTTTATATACCATATTGGTCCTCTGATATCACCTAAAGGCCCAAGCCAGGAGGATATAATTATGGACTACTAATTGTGATGTTAATATCCCAGCTAAAACTGGCTTTAATTCTTTTATCTGACTTAAAGCCATTGTAGTGAAGGATAGGGAGCATTTTTAAACCTATAGCATTCCCAGCTCGATCCTGATGGATCTAAGTGTTCTAAGCATTCTAATAAGGAATGACACAGAATATTGTCTCCTAAGGAACATGTTTGCTACTGTAATACAATTTTTTTCCTGCATAAAACATAGCAATTAAAACCAAGTCAGCACTGCAGCACTTTTTTGATACCTTTTGCGTGCATAGCTTGTGCAGATGCTAACAGTCAAAGTTGGCTATAATTACATTTGCTGATTTGGAAGCAGAGTCTTCATTATTATTTTGCAACTGAGTGAGAAAAGGGAGGTGTGGATCCCCCCATATTTTGCTTTTATTCTATATGTTTTGCTTTTGTTTCTATATGTAGGAGTTGAACGTAGGCGAATTTATGACATAGTGAATGTCTTGGAGTCTCTTGATCTTGTTAGCCGAGTGGCTAAGAATCAGTACTGTTGGCATGGTCGCCGTAGCTTGAGTCAGACTTTGAAAAACCTCCAAGGAATAGGAGAGCTGCAGAAATATGAAGAACTTATGGCTTATTTCCAGCAAAAAGAGCCGGACCTTGAGTGTAGATTTGGAGAACAAAAAAGAGAGACCTTTATCGATTTCCAGGACCGACAGTTGCTTGACTTCTCAGAGACAGATTGTCCATCTGGTAAGTTAACTAAGCTACTGGCAAGGTAGCAAGAAATTTTGCCATAATGTCTGTAAAAAATATGTGCAGTTCTATTTTATTTATTTTAATTATTGTGCCCAAAAGATAATTATATCTCTCGAGAGGCAAACCTCCTTTTCTTCCAAGTGCTGGAACTGCATCCATAGTTAGTTATTGTGGTTTTTTCCTCACTCATTGTCCCAATCCTCCATATATGATCTTTCCCCTGCTGTTGTTCATTAGCCTTAGTGTTACCACTTTCTGGAATATCACCTATATAGCCTGAATTCACCCTTTCTTGCCTCCAGTATTACACACTGAGTACAATCTTGCTTAGGATTTCCCACTTTTGAATGCATTTCTTCTGGATATTTCTTTATTGCCCTTTCTTCTTTTCCTGAAGAGAGTGAAAATGCAAGCATCCATCCATCTGTTACTGGTAATTATTTTCCACTCGTTAAAAAAACAATTTTTCCAACAAAGAAATGTTCTTCTTTTTTTCTGCGCAAGATGCCTTCATAATGCTTTCTTGGCTGTGATAGATGTAACATGCTGAGACTTGGGTTGTGTTTGTAATACAGCGTCTGCAAACAGCAGAAAGGACAAGTCGCTGAGGATTATGAGCCAAAAATTTGTCATGCTGTTCCTTGTCTCCAAGACCAAGATAGTCACTCTCGACATAGCAGCGAAAATATTAATAGAAGAAAGCCAAGATACAGCAGATCACAGCAAGTTCAAAAGTAAGGGTTATTTCTGAGGGGTGAATTATCATCTTGTCACTGAGGATCCGGATGTGACCTTTACTTATGGGAGAGCCTCTTGATCATTTGGGTTGCTATTTTCCAACTCTGCACTATCCTTTTTGAGATGCAGTGACCAGAACTTATTAGTTGGCTATTGTGCATTGGAGAGGGAGACGTCTAAAAGTAAATGACAAGGTTATAACGATTATCCCCTGTGATGTTGACCTTTAAAATGAAATTAGTTGTCTTAGATTAAGTTGTGAGTACATTTCAAAGAAGTTATAATCCTGCTTGATTAAAATTGGTGTATCCATTTATGTAAGGCTGGGGCTGAACTTGAAGACCACAATATAAAATATAAGTGTTGTGCTTTTCTTAAAGTAAAATGTATTGGTGTGCAATAGATAAATATTTCATGCATACTAATTGCATATTGTTATTCCACTGGTTGGAATAAGGATTTGCACCATACCAATCCATCTCAGGATAAGATGCACTTTAGATTATTATTGTTGTTGTTTTCTGGAAACAGTTATTCAGCATGCTTAGTTACATTTATATGTAATATACTCATCTATTTGAACTTAAAACTGTTTTTCTTTTAGCAAAGGTTCGAAGATTGTATGATATTGCCAATGTCCTAACTAGTCTTGGCCTGATAAAGAAAGTACATGTAACAGAAGAAAGAGGTCGAAAACCAGCCTTCAAATGGATTGGACCTGTGGAATTCACTGGAGAGAGTGGTGATTATTTTCCCTGAATTTTATGTCTATCTTCCTTATCTATGTAAAAAAGACTTAACAATATCAAAGCACAACTTTCAAAAAGTCAGGTTCTTAACACTGACCTGGTTTGTGCATAACAACCCAGGGTATGAGCTGAATATGGATTATCATTTAATGGTATTATTGAATTATGGGTTGTCAATAGATTAAGTATGGGTAAATAGACACAAGCAACCCATGAGTCTGTCTCCTGGATTACTTGTGGTTAGCCCATAGATAAACTATGGTATACGGTTCACACATAACAAGGAGGTCCTTCTCTGGGAGTCACCTTTAAAGGATGTAAGGAAGGTGGCCAGTAGGAGAAGGGCCTTTTAAGTTGTGAAACCCCACTTGTGGAATCAAGTCCTCAGAGTCTGCATGCTTTCCGGCATCAGACTAAAGCCTTTTTAATTGCCCAGTATTTTAATGGATAAATAATGAAATCTTTGCAATGTTATACTATATTTTACATCACTGGATCACCATGGATTGTTTATTGTTTAATTATGTATTTTATTCTAACTGGATTAGGACTCCGGTGTTGTGGTTTATATTACTTTTACGTATATTATGTGACATTGTTTTATTGTATTGGATCATGTTAAATTTTATTGTAAACTGTCCAGAGAGCCATTTGGCTAGTGTGAACTATTTATAAAAGCTCTAATAAACAAATAAACAATTCTCAATTCATCAACAACCCATTGTACAACCTATACTGTACGTTCTTCGTTGTGGCCTCTGTGCATCATACATATGGGTGCTGCACCTGCGCAGTGCCTATGGCCGGGAGATTGATAGCTAACGGTTTGGCAGGAAAACTCCACTCCCCTCCCCCTCTAGCAGTATATATGGGGCGGAGTGTCCGCCATTTTCCAGTCTTTCTTTGCAACCACCGTTCGTTGTGTCTCGTGCCACTTTCGCTCTCGCTCTGACCGTTTCTCATTCTCTTCCACATTTGCGATCCTTCTTCTTTCCAAGTTATAGTCCAAGTTGTGTATTCCCTTTGATAGTTCTTGTTCTCTCGTCCATTAACTTTATTCTACTCTCTTCCTAAAAAAAAAAAAAGCCCAGGGGCAGCATAGAAATGTTATAATAATAATAATAATAATAATAATAATAATAATATATTCTCCCTCTGCACTGTCTTCTTCTTTCTTTTCTACGATGGCGCAATGAGCGGCTTTCCGCAAGTGCGCGTAATGCGGGTCAAAAATGTCTCCAACAGACCCGCATGATTATGCCTCCTCTGTTTGGGGGAGGATCATAGGACAGACAAGTGCAGCCATTGTCTGGCCTTCTCGAAGCAGGCTAGAAAGAACCGCAAGAATCGCCTCCGTAGGCTCTTGTGGGACCACGCACTTATGCATTCGGACCCACTGATTACTCGCCCTGCTTCGACCTCAGCTGTAACTGCATGTCCAGCCTCCTCTGCACCACCAGCCTTCTCTTCCAGAGCTCCGTCCTCGTGCCCTTCGAACAAAGGTGCATCCGCTATGGGCGATCGGCCTGCTTCCCTGCTAAAAAAGCGGCATGAAAAGCAGAAGCATAGCAGCTCTGAAAAACCATCCGAGCACAAAAAGGCCAAAAAGGATATGGCCGTGAAGCCGCCTTGCAAATGGAAGAATCCCAAGCATCGAGACTCGGGTTCGTCGGCCCCCTCAGTCCCGATGGCTGTCGCAGTCCTGACACCACCAGGTCCGATGCTTTAAGCGGCCATGAGGGTTACCCCTCCGGGGTCTCCTCGGTGTATGGGCGAGCCAACAACGGAGCCTTTGCAAGCTCCACATCGGGAATTGATCTCCGATGGGAAGATTTAAGACTCCCCGCCCAGGGCTAGGTCTCCCACACCTATGCCCCCAGCGAGACTGGATGCGGAGACGAAGATGTCTCCTCCTAGGAGTTGGAGAAGCCGCTTGTCTGACAGAAGATCTGACGACTGGTACCATCCTCAATCTTCGTTCTATCACGGATGGGGGAACTACCACTCTGTTGGACGTTATCCAGCTCCTAGAGACCACACCTCTCCACCAGCTCCTAGAGACCACCCGACATCTTCGGTTCCGAGGCACGCTCCAGCAATACCAACTAGGGAGAGCAGTCGGTCCCTGTCACCCGGAGAATCTTCCTCCAGTGCTCCCCCATATTATGGGTTGGATTCAGACGAATCTGACGTTGACTCAACCTCTCCAGATGCCGTGGTGACTTGTCAGGGCCCTGGGTCCCCTAACGAATCGCACATCTTCGCGGAGCTGATGTCACGCCTCGTGCAGTCGCTGGAAACTATTGCCATACAATGGCCCAGACCCAGCACTGATAAATTTTACATCGTTCATGGATAGCAGTCGATGTCTATAGTATTGCCGCTCATTACCACCCTGCGGCAAGCTGTGACCCAGCCATGGGACCTGTCCGCCCATCCTCAACCAACATCGAGGAGGTACGAAGCCATGTACCGGGTTTGGGAGGAGGACATCCCGTTCCTCCTGCGTCATCCCAAACCAAACACGGTCGTGGTGGAGTCTTCCCAGGGCAGGGAGTCAAGGGGTCACACCGCGCCCCGCAACAAGGAGGGGAGGAAGATTGACTCTCTAGCTCGCCAAGTCTATGTGGCCTCTGGACTCGGCTTGAGAATATCTAATTATGAGGCGACACTGGCTCGATACCAGTACTTTATAATGCAGCGCCTCAACAACGTGCTTTCGGCTCTCCTGGACAACCAGGGTGACCTTGCAAAAGTCTTCGTAAAGGAGGCTATGCAGGTCGCGGTCCAACTGCTTTCCACCGCCAGGCATCACGTGGACACGGACTCCAAGGCCCTGGTCGGTGCCGTCTCCCTCCGGAGGCATGCGTGGTTGCGCAATTGCAACTTTCCGGAGGAGATGAAGAGGTGCACAGAGGAGATGCCCTTTGATGGGTCCGGACCCTTCCATTCCAGGACCGACCACAAGCTCAAGAAGATCCATGAGTCCAGGATGACGGCTCAGCGCATGGAACTGCAGCCCCAAGTCCAACGTAAGTGGTCTTGGACCTGTCCGTCATATCGGCAGCCATACCAGTCAAGACAGCAACCTCAGCACCGCCAACAACAACAACGCTGCCGACAACAGCCACCGCAACATTATCAACAAGGCCATCGCCGTTTCAATGGCAACAAGCGACAACGTTGGCGGGACGGGCAAACCTTTCCTCTGTTCCCTACCCTACCCACCCTTCTCTCATTTGGGGACCGGCTGAAAAGCCGACTCCCCATTTGGGAGTCCATCACATCTGATTGGTGGCTGTTGTCCATCATTCAGCATGGATATCGGATAGAATTCGACATTGTTCCTCCATCAAGCCCAATCTGGTTTATACCATGCACGCCGGCATTGCTCGACGAAGTTCGACAACTTCTCCGTAAAGGAGCAATTCGTCAAATAGCTCGAACAGAAGGACTTCACGGATTCTATTCGAGCTATTTTATGGTTCCGAAGCGGGATAGTGGTCTTTGTCCAGTACTGGACTTACAAAACGTCAATAGGTTCATCACAACAACAAAAATCAGGATGACCACCCTTCAAAATATCCTACCGTTGCTGAAGAGGGAGGACTGGTTCGCCTCATTGGACCTGAGGGACACCTATTTCCACATTTTGATCCACCCGTGTCATAGGCGTTTCCTCTGTTTTGCTGTTGTGTCTGAAGTTTTCGAATTCACAGTGTTACCTTTTCAGACTGGCCACCGCACCAAGGGTTTTTACGAAATGTATAGCCCCTGTCTGTGCCTTCCTACGACTATGTGGTGTTCAAATTTACCCTTATCTCGGTGATTGGTTGCTAGTCTTTCCTCGATACATATAACTTGTACTCTGCTGCAGGCCCTTGGACTTTGTATTAGCATCAAGAAATCTTCTCTTGTTCCTGCACAGATGATCACTTTCATCAGAGCCCGTCTGGATTCCACAATGGCAAAAGCCTTTCTCCCGAGGGACAGGCAGTACACTCTCGCTCAGCACATCCATCGAATGCAACGAGACAGGCCGGTTCCTGCCCGATCCATCCAAAGATTCTTGGGGCACATGGCTGCGTCACTCGCCATTGTCCCACATGCCAGGCTTCGACTTGGTCCTCTCCAGCTTTTCTTCAACAAGAGGTTTCGACCGCAAAAGGACTTACCGACAAAGTTAATTCGGCTTCCATCCTCTGTTCTTCACTCTCTTATATGGTGGACAATTCCGGCCAACCTAACCGTTGGGGTTCCATTCCGACCCTGATGCCCTTCAGTGACCCCCGGTACTGATGTATCCCTACTTGGATGGGGAGCAGTATGTTCTGATCTACACACTCAAGGTGTTTGGAATCGGCAGGAATCCGGGAACCATATCAATTTCCTGGAACTTCTGGCAGTATTCAAGGCCCTTTGATCATTCAAGGACGTTCTTCGGCACCGAGTCATTCAGATAACCTCAGACAACATTGCTACGGTCTTTTATCTGAACAAGCAAGGAGGGACAAAGTCACCAATGTTAGCTTGGCTATCGATGCAGATCTGGGAGTGGTGCATTCCGAGAGACATTGCCCTCGTAGCAGTACACCTAGCCGGTACGGACAATGTGGAAGCCGATCTTCTAAGCAAACACATGTCGACTTCCCACGAATGGGAGCTGGATCACCAGATACGCGACCAACTATTCCATCACTGGGGTCATCCGGACATAGACTTGTTCGCTACCCGGCAGAACAGGGTATGCGAGACTTTTTGCTCGAGAGAAGGAATCGGACAGGGGTCATCAGGGGATGCTTTTATGATCCCTTGGAACAATATGAATTTTTACGCTTTTCCCCCGATTCCCCTCATTATGAGAGTAATATCGAAAATAGTTCATGACGGGGCCACAGGACTACTGATAACCCCATGGTGGCCATGCCAAGCATAGTTTTCGACACTTCTTCGCATTTCTCAGGACGAATATTTTCAACTTCCATCCGTTCCATATCTCATAACTCAGCGAGAGGTCACTGTTCGCCACTCAGATTTAACATAGCTGAAATTAACAGTCTGGTGGATTCGATAACGGTCGGTGCCGTACTTTCTACGGGTCCTGTCACCGGATCCAACACTCTAATTCAGGCTTCAAATCCGTCTATCTTTCCTATGTCATCGGATCCAACAAATTTCCCATTGGGTCCGGCAGTTTTCCACCCAGACATCCAACGCATTCTCGATTCTGCGTTAAGACTGTCAACCCGAAAATCATACGCGGCTAAGTGGCAACAATTCTCTACCTTTGCCGAGTCTCGCTTGTTTCTTTTACATTCAGCATCCACAGACCATATTCTCCAGTTCCTCTTAGAACTCCAGCATTTGGGACTTAAGCCATCCTCCATAAAGGTGTACACAGCAGCAATGTCCTATTACCGTGGTACAGTTCAAAGATCCTCCATTTTTTCTCAACCATTGATAAAGAGATGCCTTTAAGGGCTGCATATCCTTCACCCGACAGTCAGGCCGGTTATGCCTACTTGGAGTCTTTCAGTGGTATTACAAGCGCTAACAAGATCCCCCTTCAAACCCTTGGCGACTATCGATTTGCATCTTGTTTCTTGGAAAACAGAATTTCTTGTAGCAGTTACATCAGCCCAGAGAGCTAGTGAGCTCTGCGCCCTCAGGGTAGACCCTCCCTATTTGAATTTTCATAGGGAGAAAGTAGTTCTGCGAATGGATCCATCTTTTCTCCCTAAAGTGGCTACTTCCTTCCACATGAGTCAAGAGATCGTCTTACCTGCCTTTTTTCCATCTCCATCAAATCCGATTGAGAGATCCTTACACACGCTCGACATACGGCACTGCTTAGCCTTCTATAGATCAAGGACTGAGTCTATTGCATGTTCCAATAAGCTCTTTGTTAAATACTCTGAGTAGGACCAAGGTTTTCCAGTTTCTCCTCAAAGACTCTCCAAGTGGATAGTTCACACCATTACTCTCTCCTACCAGTTGGCTAAGATAGACTTACCTACAACCCCAAGGGGTCATTCTACTCGAGCTGTAGCTGCTTCTTCAGCCTTTGTGTCGGGGTCCTGATTGACGATGTCTGCAGGGCGGCCACCTGGGCCACTCCATGTACATTCGCAAAACATGATCAGCTGGATGTCCGTGCTAGACAGGACTGTTCTTTCAGCAGAGCCATTCTTTCAGCTATTCTTCATTGATGACACCTCCCCTCCTCCAGTCAGGGTAAGCTTGCTAATCTACCCATATGTGTGATGCACAGAGGCCATGACGAAGAAAAGTAGGTTGCTTACCTGTAACTGATGTTCTTCGAGTGGCCATCTGTGCAGTCACACAACCCGTCCGCCGGCCCCGCTTGGTGTCACTGGGTGGTGTTGTTTTCGGTACCATATTATTCTTGTTCTCGGTACCTACACAGTATTTTCTTCCCTGTCGTCAACACCGACAGCATTTCTTTACTTAGTTACAACTTGTTCTTAGAGAGTGAACGTCCGGTCTATCAAAGACTGGAAAATGGCAGACACTCCGCCCCATATATACTGCTAGTGGGGGAGGGAAGAGGAGTTTTCCCACCAAACCGTTAGCTATCAATCTTCCGGCCATAGGCACTGTGCTGGCAGAGCACCCATATGTGTGATGCACAGATGGCCACTTGAAGAACATCAGTTACAGGTAAGCAACCTGCTTTTGTAATGGATGAACCAGTAGCCTTTAATTGGCATCTTCAAGTGGTAACTATTTTTGCTGTATTCATGTCTGTCTTTTAGCAACCAACTACTTATTAATAGCCCTGGCAAACTGTCCCAGATGATGCACCAAGGTTCTATCACATGGAGCATTGTGCAAACATATTAGAGAGTATGTGATTTGGCAAGTTGATATTTTAAATGGCTGTGAAAGAACAGGCATGGAGGGAAGATGAAAACACAGGCAAACAAATCACTAGCATGTTGTGACAATCTGAAACAAGAGGAAGAATTTCACAATTGCATGCGATAAGAAAGATAGTTGTGAATTAAGGAAAAGAGTTACAATAGGAATATTGTTAGAACAAGGTACAGATTTGTTTTGTTCATCGGGCGGTTGGTATGTTTTGTGCTTTCTTGATTCATGGCATGATAAACAGCATAATGCCCATAGGTCATGTTCAGTCAGCAAATCTAAAAAGTGTAATTTTTTAGATGACATAAAGATGGAGATTTCAACCTGTGCTGCTTTAACGGAAGCGAAAGGGGCAGCACATGTTCCGCACCAAGCTTGCACTAACAGAAAAGAGCGGCTGTCACGACATGCTTCTTTTCATGCTGCTCAGTCTTCCGAAGTGGTCAAGAGGAAGGTCAGCTCTGAACCCAGCAGCCCACGCAGAGGGAGGCAAGGTAAACCATTGGAGGACTGGCACCAGCTCTACTTATAGCTTTCAGTTACTAGCCATAGGTTTGTGCCCTTATTTTCTGGTAAATCTGCTCCTCCTCACTCGATTAAACCAGAGTGTGTTTCCTTTGTTAGAATCTGGCACGGAGAAACTAGTACGCTGAGAATGTATTATTTTATGGTTACTGGTGACGGAACTGACTGTAACAATCCTGTTTATAAGTACTTTCACACTTTAGCTGTGTAAAGTTTATAAAGTGATTTGAAGGTCTTACAAGAATTCATGACAATGAGTCCATGTCTGCATGGCACACAGTGCATAGCTTAGAGGAGACTTTTATCTTACAAGCTTCTGGAATGTAAGATAAACAATTCCATGAGCTATGGAATGTATAGAATATGAATTTTGTAGTCCAGATTTCCATTTTAATATGGAACATAAATTCATTCACTCTGCCTAACATGGTGAGTGTCCTTCCCCTTCATAGAACAATAAAATAGTAGAGTTGGAAAAAGCCAGAGGGTCATCAGGTCCATCCCCTGCTCAGTGTGGGACTCCTAAGTTAAACCATCCCTCTTAGATGGCTGTCCAGTTGCATTTTGAATGCTTCTAGTTTGGGACAGCCCACAACCTCCCTAGGTAATTGGTTCCTTTGTTGTACTGCTCTAACATTTTTTCCTGATATCTAGCCAGCATCTGGCTTCTTGTAACTTGAGCCCATTATTCCATGTCCTGCGCTCTGGGAGGATCAAGAAGGGATCCTGTTACCCTCCCCTGAACCCTTTTCAGTTTGCTTGCATCTTTTTGTGGTGCCCAGAATTGGACTCAGTACTCCAGATGAGGCCTTCCTGTCCCCCAAAATGAGCATGACAAAACCCAGGCTACACTCAACTGCAGAAACAATATTCTGTTTGGTCTTGGGAAAATAAACAGAATATTCTTTCTGCAGTTCTGCTGTAAACAACAAAATCAGTTACCTGAAATGGAAATTAAGAGAGAGTGACCTGATTCATATGATCAAAACCAGGGGCCCAATAGGCTGATATCCCAACGCTCTGTCCCAATCTGAAGACTGGAATTAGCACCAAATTCACCCAGAACAGCCATACAAAAAGGGTAGGAGTTTTATTTAAAAGAGAAGAGTGAAGAGTTAAATACAATGTGTAATTTAGGGCAATAAAACAAGTTAAGATCCCAGTATCCAAGAGTATGCAGACTCTTCAACATGTAATCTTGACAGGAAAATAAGAAAACCAGCCCTACTTTATATTACCTAGGCAATGAGTCTCCCCTGAGTAGATTCAGCAGAGTCAGCCAGGCAGAAGCTCCAGGCACTTGTCTGGAGGGAGAGAAAAGACCCACTCAAGGCAGTTCCATTTTCTTCCCCTTTGGACAATAGAAAGATCCCCAGCAAGCAATCCCAGGGTGGCCCGTCATCTCACCAGATGGCTTCAGCCTGGTCCTCATTCTAACTGCAAGCCAACAAACCCTTGAAAGGGTTGAGGCAGTAAAGCCCAGTCAGTTGTCCTTGGAACAGAACACACCTCCTCCCTTGATACGAGTAAGTTCCAGGAGCAAATCATTCAGCCTCCCAACCTTTTCTGCCGGGCTCAGCAAAGAGAAGTAATAGAAAAGCCAACCAACTGGTTAACCTTTGAGCTCCAATTCCTGGGCCTCTCTTACACCACCAGCTTAAACAAGCTACCCTTGCTTGTTTGATCTGGCAAATCAGCCTGAGAGTGTGTGTCTAAAAAATGAATAAATAGCAGATCCTACCCACTACAATATTAGTCATGGAGATGGTTGGATGCTGTCTTCTTAATTTTTGTGTGTCTTGTTCATTGCTAGTCACTTAGTATTCCTCTCTAGAAGGCCTGACTGAGTATTTGTGGGCCTAGTCTTTACTCAGATCAAATATAACTTTTGGGTAATAGAAGCTGTGGGTATAAATATATTCTGTGTATAATTGATTCAGTGTTCCATGTTTCCTTCTTTCTTCAGATGATTGCCATTCCAAAATGATAAATCTAGCATCTGTTTGCTGCCAGAAGATGGAAGATGACACAAGGTATACTGAGATTTGCATTCAGATTGGGTTTACTCTACCAAGTGTGACAGCTCAGCAAGTGTCTATATGCTAGGAGAGGGCAAAAGCAATCCTTTATATGTTCCACAAATAACTGGGCTACAGTGACCTTTCTTATAGGCTTGCTTCTCAGACTTGGCCAGATTTTGGCCTTGCAGTGTGAAGTCACTGTAGTGTGTTTCTGAAACAAATAATGGTATGATGCTAATCAAAGTAGGGATTTTGTAGATCATCTAAACAGTTAAAGTACCTAAAGGTGCGATTTTATACAGGTGTGAACAGAAAGTCCTACAACTCCCAGCATTCTCCAGCAAGCCATGCTGGTGTGTAGGATTTTTTCTGTCTAAACATGCATAGGATTGCACTGTAAATTGCCAGACATTTAATGGAAAGCGTCTCAAAATTAGCTGTTACTCAAAAATGCCATCATCACAACAACAACAATCCCCTATTATAGACATACTGATAGGAAATCAAAAAGTAAAGTAAATTTAAACAAGACTTAATTTGCTCCATTGCTTGTCTTGTCCTAGTAGTTTAGTTGTCTTGATATTGTGACAGATTGCTTTCAAGGATGTGGTGCTTAAGCTGGGTAAACTCTGATTAGACATGTGTTGATATACATGGATGTAGCAAAGGCAATATGTTGCTAACGTGACCTGGATCCTTGTGTTCATGAGGCAAATGGGATTTCTCACATCACCACTCATTCTTGCAATTGTTGGTATTTATATAAAGCATTATATATACAGATGAGACTTGTCTGCTGACACAATGTGACGATAGCTCTTCAGAGTGTCCAGTCTGGTCACCCATTAAAGCAGGGAGCTTTACCTATTGGGCAGTATATAAATTAAATTAATGATAATGAATTTAATATTCATTTAATACCTCCCTTTATCTCTTATATGGAGAAAAGTACTTACATTAGTTTATGGTGACTTCCAACATAAGTCTTCTGAAGTTAGGCGAAGCCAAGGGAATGTAGTTTTGAGACATTCAGACATAGCTAGTGCTTTTGATGCAAATGTCTTGTGCTGTTTCGTTTCTTAACTAATGCTGGTAAGAGGCAATTTTAATTAACATGACCAAGGTTCACCACCCATTGTTTGAAAGGACTGATTAGTGTTACTATTTAAATGCCTTCACAATGTATCCAGAAATAACCTACCTGTTCCAGTTCACTGGTTAAACTTTCCAGTTCAACCTAGATGACAACATTTAGGGCACATGCCCTCATATATTCAAACCTCAAGTGTTTTGGTTAACTCTGTTGGAATAAGGTTGCATCAGGATGCATCAGAGCCATTGTTCTGGCCTGACTTTCACCCTTTGTCTTTACAGTAAAGGTTTTGTCACAGAATCAGCAAGAAAGCTGGGCATCATTTCACCTGTTGTTCCTGTTCCTGGAGACTCACACTATTGCCCTTATGTTCCTTCACATGTCAACTCTGAGATGTCACATCTGTCTCTGACAAATGGAATAAATGACCAAGACCTGTCGTCATCTGTTTTATCGGGTTCTAAAACAGAGTCTGGGAAAACCACTGTGGTCCCCAATCAGCCTTTTGTTTACTTGCCATCTCCACCCCTTTATATGCTTTGTGGAAGTCTACATGAGAATTTCCCTAGGGAAACCCTTTCAGAAAAAGCAAGTAAGGACTTTAAGAGCCAAGCTTCTCCATGTCTACCAGAAGCTGTTGAATTTCCAGATAATTGTCGAAAGCGGAATTCGCAGAAATGTCTGCCTCCCACTGCAGTTTCAGCTGAAGAGGAACCTTCAACAAAAAGACAAAGCCTTGAGCAAAGTGATGGCCCCATTTCCCTGGTGTTGTCTAAGGTAACAGAAACGCATTAAGACGGCTATCAAGATTTCTTGTTCACTATCACAGTGGGAGAAACATAATGTTCTTAGAGTGACCCTCACTCAGACAAACTTACAGTGACCTCCCCAATGATACAAATGTTATTTTCCATGCACAAGTTCTACCATCTGGAATGGTAATTGCACAATATGTCACTCAGCAGCATATCCATTCAAAGAGACAAAACCTATCTTTAAAAGATGGTTCACACTGTACAGGACAATGGCCTCCTGCTTTCCCACTGCATAACTTCAGTGATCCATGTAAAATGCAAAGAGGTATGTCTTGAAACACAAGTTAGGCACATGTCTGGAAGTCTTGGATAATCATTGTTCCTGAACCTGATTCATGATTGCGCATGATTCAACTCAGATTCATGATTACTTCCCATAGACTAGTGAGATTACCATAAAAGTATGTAGTGAATGAGTACTTTTGAACATGTGTAAGGGTCCCAGTATTGATAAAAGTAATAAAAACATGGAAAATTTTCCTTTCCAGTCGCTAAAAGTTGGAAAGAGTCAGAAGCCACTTGGTCCTATTACCTGCTCAAAAGGAGAACCCTCAGCCCACCTGCTTCTCCACAGGGTAGCCTTCACAGTGTAACACACACACACACAGCAAAACCATGATTTCAAAGCAGATCAAAATGAGCCATTCCAGTAAGTTCAATCAGACACTGCAGGAGAAAGTGGTTGGGTTAAAATTTTCCCAAGAGCTCTGAGTAGGGACAAAACATCTTTGAGTAGCTTACTTGGAGGCAATTCTAACAGTGCATCTCTGGAGCATCCAGCTTTCCCTTCCCAACTGTGGCAGTCAGAAGCTGAAATGCCCACCATTGGGAAACTGGTTATTTGTGTAGATTGTTTGGTGGGGCAGGGGAGGGAGGACTTAATAGGAAAAGTATCTTAGAAGAAAATAGTTCCCATTCTCAACTGTAGCTTTTGACCTTTCATGGCAAGATATGTGTTGTGAGGATAAGCTATTGCTGTGCAATAGGCTTTGCTTCACATCTCTAAGAATAGGTGTGATGACTTGAACTCTTTGTTTTGTTCTTTCCCTAGAACACTATTAATTCAGACTCTTCCCTGGATAGTAAAGGCAGTTCCATAGACCAACTAAGAGGTTTTCCACTTGAATCAAGGACTCCTGCTGTTGTGGAAGCTGCAGTGGCCAAATCCTTAGACACACTGGAGCAAGAAAAGTCCTGTCAAAATAAAGAGCTGAAAGAAAATTCAAAGGAAAATGAGCAGGCCTCGCAAGAAAATGGCAAACAGTCTTTCCTGCCACAGTACCTCTATGTACAGCCTGCAGCTGGTAAGGGCTTCTCTGAGAATGTACATTGATTCATTGATTTTGCCAGAATATATTTTCAAACAATCTGCATACAGAGCTACGGTAAGCTCCTAGGTAGGTATCTCAATCAAATGGCTGCATTCAGACAACATAAAATGCAAAGTAATTTTTTTATCAATGGCTGTCTGTCATGTTTTCTGAGCACAGTCATGATTTTTCTAAAGTCTGGACTTTAGAAACCATGCTAAGAAACAATGGGTTCTTTGGTTTCTCTGTACCACCATAGCTTGTCATGTCTGAACCCGGGATTATGATTTCCAAGGTCATGGTATAAAACTACCACAGAGTCCTCTCGAAAGAGTGACAATTGCAGGAGCTGCTCCAGCCATCCAGCCTCTACAGGTGGACCAAAGAGGAAAGAGCAGGTAATGTAGGCAGGGCCTGATGGCAGCATGGGATCAAAGTTCATCCCAATAGTAAGATGACTGAGCAGGGAAGATGAAAACCATGATAAAGCAGAAACCACTTGATCATGTGTCCAGTGGTTTCTACTTTTATCTGTCAGTCAACCACTTGTCTGGTTAAAAGCCTACAAACTATGGTAGCCACAAAGGGTTGCTTGTTGTGTTGTGTGAATGCAGCCACACAAACCGACTTCGGTTTCTAAAACATGAGGCAAGGGCCAACCTAGAGAAAATAGATTTACTATTAGCTTTCTGGATGTTTCTTATTTAAAAAAAAAGTAGATGGGGAGGGATCAGATTAAGACTATGATACTGGACAGTTGGCGGTTTAATGCATTCTTCAAACACTGTTGTCCCCTTAACATTTTTACCACCAGACATACCCTTCACAGGTATTACATGCCCTGCTGAGAAATGCCTTCCTGCTGAGAAAAACATGGACTTTCCAGCAGAATGAATAGTTGCTTTGGTGTCATTTAGACCAGGGTTTAATTCTTCCCCTCTCAAACCACAGTCCTGGTTCAGTCCCACCTCTGTCAGGTCTCTTCTATCTCCCACATGCTCTTCGGTTTATCCCTGAGAATGGGTCTGCATTTGTATCATGCAAAGATGGACAAAAAGTAGATTTCCACGTATATGAGACTTAATCCCTCAGAAGCCTCTGCAAGCATGGCCAGTGGTCAAGAATACTGAAATCTGATGTCTAAAACATCTGGAAATGGCTTCTCTGCCACTCCTACTGGATTATTCTGTCTGTTTTCTAAAACTTAGAAGAATCTGCGCAAATATTTCATGCTTTTTTTTCCTGTGGAACAAAGTGCTAGAAATCTGCTTGCTTTAAATCATGGAGCTCAGATTCTTTGAATTCTTCTCTAAGTGGAAGATCTTGAGTGGAGTTTTAGCAATCATGCTCCATTGTGCAATCACAGCCATAAACATGTATATTCCCCACTCCATTCAGTAGTTTGAAATCATACGGAGTACGCATATAGGCAATAAAGAATAAACAGATTTATATGGTCTCCTTGGAATGTGGTTTATTAATCTGAGCTTATTGCTCCTATGCATGCCTGCCTACCTTCTTGGTAGAAAAGGACATCTTACTAATTGCAGTATCTGCCTCTGTTCTTCTCTTCTTGTTTAGGATTAAATGGTTTTAATTTCCTGTTTCCTGCCAATCAAACTCCTGGTCCTGTCAGCCTACCTTCAAGCCATTTACCTCCACTCAATGTTCCCTGTATGATGGTTCCATCTTCAGCATTGGCACCATTTCCTCTTATCTATTCTCCAGCAGTAACAAGCCAACTTTCTTCTGCTCCTGCCAGCTCCTTTCCAAATGTCACGTGCATGAACTTTAGTATGCCTGGCCTTCCATCTACAGCACCTGTTTTCATTGGGACCCCAGCAGTGGTCACTTCAAATTCATCGCAGCTACCAAGCCTGGAATCACACCAGCAGATTCATTCAGCTGTACACCTGAGCCCTGTATTAGGATCTGCTTGTAGCACCATTAAAGCAGATGCACCTGTTTGCATGGGACATCCAGTCACTCTTCTGAAATTACAGCAGGTGAGAAGTCAGAGTTAGGGTGAAGCTGAGATTTAAAAAGCATGGGAGTGTGTAAAAAAGATTGTTTATAATGAGGTAAGCAACATATCCATCTATGGTTGGGGGTCTCATAGCCATTTGTGCTGACCCTGACACATTTTCACAGCAGTAGCGGAAAAAAACAAAAAGCGAAAAACAGAAACTTTTGTCACCTGGTAATTTCAGCTGTAGAAGTGACATATGGCCCCTGGTGGGTTCTGGAGGGCAATGTGGCCACCCAACCACCTTTATAATGCCCAGTTTAAGCCAAAAGTTCTGCTAGTTGCTGTGTTCCCTTTGGGCAGATGAACATTATAAGATTCCTGCTAAATGTTTTACTTAGTAAGCAGGTTCAGCTGGACATGAATGAAATCAGCAGGTGCTTATTTATAAATTCCACAGCTAAATTCCTGTGCTTAGTTATGTACATTTCATCCCACTGAAGTCATTCACATTTATCTAAAGCCATATATGTTCTGTGCCAAGTATTTGGAGCTCCTACGTACACAGAAGAAGGCAGCTTTACAGCATCTGTTGTTTAGTACATGCACCGCTGGCCCTTCATTAGAGTGAAATAGAAGCCCTTGTGTTGGCAGAAGTGGTTACCCTATCTGGAATGCCCACGTGAGGACTGCAGCATCATTTCACATAATGGGACTTTCCCTTCCAGTTCTTCCTTTTTCAGCCCCACAAAAAATGCTTTAGGGAGTCCCCCAACCCTTAAGAAAAACATGAGAGTGTATGAGGATTGCTGTGGGGAAGAGGAACCATGTATTTCCATGGCACTGATAGAAGCTGTTTGGTCCCCAGAAGTGCTATTTGGCTACAACTAGGAATGTGTTGAAGCTCCAATGAATCCATCCCTCTAGCATTCGCAGACTTCCTTTCATGCTTGGCACTCACTTAGAAAGTGAGTTGAGTAGAAGGGGAGCCCATGAATGCTCACAGAACAAAAAATGCAACCAGAAGCTTTCTTTCATGTCTCATGCAAACAGCACAAAAGCTGCTTGCATCTAAAGCAGAAAAAAGACACAGCTTGCACTGTGCATGAGGCTTGATTCTCGTCGTAGGGTTGGGATAAACCCTTTACACCTGCAAAGCAAGCCAAGAGGAAATCCGCAAGCATTCGCCCTGCACAACCGGCATCCTTTCCTAGCTGCCATTCCCAACAGCCAACCTTCTTCCCTGCTTAAATTTGCCAGCAGTGGCGGCAGCAATGTGCTTGCAAAAAGAGTGCAGCAAGCGAGGCAGCTAGCTGCCTTCCCCACTTGCTGGCGACCGTGGTGGTGTGCATGGAGAAGGGCTACAACAAGAGGCTGCACTGGCCACCATTCCAGGTGCTCGGCTTCCTTCCCCAGCAGTGAGCACAGAAGAATGGAGCTGCTTGTGCAGCACATGCAGCTCAGTTCCTAGCATGTGGCCTGCAGACCCTGAGCACATTCACCATTAAAGTGGTATGAAAAACTGAAACAAGGGGATCCGGCAGATTTTGCACACAAAGCAATTCCTGTCACATCCCTTTCCTTGCAAGTGCTGTGCCAACACTGGGCATGCCCCTCAGAAGGTCGAACTCGTGGCCCCAGAAGGAGCCCTGCCCAGGGAATCCAACAGATCCCCACTCCCAGAACCTAGCTAAGTGTGCACATCCGCTTTCTTCTGTGTGCGTTGGGACGGTGGGAACATCCAAAACACTGAGATCATAAGACATGTTGATTGATGTGACTGCTATAGGGCTCTGCTGCTGCTCAGTTTACAATGACCTGTGTGAATTACAGCTTTGAGTGGTGGAATTTGTTCTACGTGACCTAGTGTTTAGACCAGGGGTGTGAAACTCAAATGGCTTTGTGGGAGGAATAAGCCCCATCTACCAAATCAATTGTCTGCTTTGTTGGGAAAGTAGACCAGGTATCATTTCAGAGGTTATCATCTAGAAGAGCTGCTCTCCATTCAGTATGCCATCCATCCTACATCCTATCAGCCAAATAAATTAGTCACCACTGGAAATTTTCCGTATTAGGAACATAAATTCCTAGATGTAAAGAGGGTTATTTGTATCATTTATGTCAATTTGGCTGTAAGCCATACAGATAAAATTGCTATGTTACAGTAATTTGTATCACTAAACCATGCAGGTACTTTAGTGGTCTTAAGGGAAACTGATTCACTAAGTTACAGCACTATATTTGTTGAGGCAAGCAAGACTGTGTGTATTTTCCCTTTCGGCCTTTTCCAACCTGGCAGCCTCCAGATATGGTGGACTGCAGATCTGAGCTAACATGGCCACTGAAGTGGTGGGAGTTGCAGTCCAACATATCTTAAGGACAGCAGACTGGGGAAGTCTGCCCTGTTGAACTGGAAACCACTGAATGTGCCATTTGAGGCTCCATCTAGCATCTGGAGTGGTGTGCAAGGTTTTCTCCAGGAAACCGCATCTAATCCACATAATCAATACATTTAACATATATGTATGCAGAGGAGAGGACTGAAGGAGACCTTCCACCCAGTCCATTAACCTTTTATTTTTAATTAATGATAACTACTGTGGTATTTTTTTAAAAGTTGATTTTAGCTATTTATTTTTATTGTATCTTAAGTTGGTTTACTGCCTTGGATACTTTCCAAAAATGGAAAGGCAGGATAAAAATGTCCAGATAAATACTGACTCCTTTTTTCTTTTCAAACAAATGATTGACATTTTCCTTGCTAACCATCTTATGCAAGTTGGTATGCACAGCCAAGCCTGTGCCCAGCTGAACTAGAGCCAGCTTTGCACTGCGTCCTATTGAATTGGGATTAGGTTCACAGACTATGATAACCCCCACTCAGCTGTTGAATATAGGGTGTCGTTGAACCATGGGTGGTTGTTAAACATGGACTGTTGTGTTTGAACCCAGCTGCCCTAATAACAACCCATGAAGAGATCCCATGATTTGCTGTTTTGCAGTTGTTTGTAGATGGTTTGTGGTTAGCAAACCATGGCTTGTTATAGTAGCTAGGTTGCCCCACCTGTCAACAACAGCAGTCCATGATTCTTAAGAGTCTATACTCAGCACTGGAGTGTGACTTATCAAGTTGTCTGAAACCCAAGGTGTTTGGAAATTCAAATTTGTTCAGCTAAAGAAAGACTTGGGGTTTGAGAGAGAACTCCTACTGAATTGCTTTGTCTTCTTTTTATGAATAGCCTTCTTCAACCCCACTGACTCCTAAGAACATGCGTCCTACACCCCAAGAAGCATTTTTCAAGACACCCGGTAGCCTTGAAGATCCTGTTGTATGGCGAAAACATGAAGGCAGCCAGAGCAGAACAACCAGTTCTGCTCAAAGAAGATTAGAAATTTCCAGCAATAGCTCTGACTAATGTAGCTGTCCTCCTAAGGCGGTGGTGTGGGCAGCTGAGAACAGGGCTTTATCCTTGTTACAGAAATAATCAGTTGCTACATTAAGAAAGAGAAAATGAGTTAAAACAGGCACACTTGCCCTCAGTGCATTTATCCCACTATTTCACTACTTTCTCCCTCATGATTTCCATTCGTTGTGTAAATATTAACTCCAATTCAAATTGTGTGCATGCCAACCTTAAGGGAGCATCAGATTCTGTTTTAGGGGCTTTAAGAATTCTTACCATAATAAGATAGGTGTATCAGTTTAGGAGCGTCTGTTCCAACATCCAAAAAAGGTAAGATAGCTAGCACTTAAAGAAAAGGGGGCACTCTTTACAAATTTGATTATCCAGTGTTGGTGTGTGAGGTGGGCTGGGGAGACTTCCAAGTGAACTGGTGTAGCAGCTGCTTCTTTGCTCGATCATTGGAGCTGGATTTAATAGAGGTGGTGTGCGACTTCCGAACAGCAGACTTTTGCAGAGTACTTGAATGTGATTGATTGATGTACAGTTTTCCTGCACTTCTTAAGCAAAAGTCTAATAACTTGCAGTATAAATGAATGTATTCATGTGAAATACTTTAAGACCAAAAGAACTGTGAAGTTTTAATTTTTCATTGGCGTTTGTATTAATGAATGTTGTAGTTGTTCTCTTTGCTTCTGGCACAAAATGTGCAACTTAATTACCAATTGGCACAAAAGTTTGTTCCTCAAACTGTAGAAACTAGCAGGTTATTTCACAAATAACATGTATGGTAGCAATGCATCCCTAGCTGAAATATAAGACCTACAATTCCATGTACTTTACAGCTGAGCCAGGACTTCATTTATGGTACCATGTTAAGTGCCTTATCTGGAATCTGCCACAGGCACTGCAAGGACTACTCTAACTAGTTCAACTAATAATGCCTATAGGATGGACTGGCATGATGTCCACAGTGATGATACCTAATTTTCATTGAATAACCCTATGAGTGAAGTATTTATGGTATGAGTGGCTGTTGAGGTCAGGAAGAATGTATGCTAGTAATGTGTAGAGGAATTAGAGCCACACAGAGAAATTGCAAAGCTATAGAGGGATTGGTGAAAGGAGTTAGATTAATCAATGGCTCGCTCTGATCCTTGTTGAAGAAGAAATTGAGAATATGCATTATTTGAGAGTCCTGAAACATCAGCTCTTGGCACTTGAGGACAGCTAATGTTTTATGAATGGTATAGATTTGGATTTTTTTCACTAATGCTGGTTTTAAAAGATAATCTATCATCATGATACTTTAAAACTTTTGAATTTATAATCAAGTAAATTGATACTATTACTGACTCTTTTTTGACCTAGGGATGACTTTGTAGTCATGATTTATGTTTCCTGAAATCACACATGTTTTCTGATCTGTCATTTTACCAGGTTTAGGAAGAAAGGTGATTTTAGTGTGCTTGATTTTAATTTTAAATAATGGAATGTGTTACTAAAAGGAAATTAAGTATGAATTCTAGTGGAGCTGCAAAATAAATTGGGAATGCAGTACCTTTATGATAGGTTAAACCAATAACAGCATTACAAGGAGAGTGATGAGTCTTTCTTAAATCTGAACAGTAAAATCACAGTAGAAAAATATTTAAAACATGCAGAAGGAGAACCTGGTTACTGTTGGTTTCTTTAAAGTTTTTACACTACAAATTGAGCATGTTCATATTACTTTTACCTGGTAATGTTGTTTCATTCATGTACTACATTCATGTTTTCCCAGCTGAAATGAAATCTTCTGTTAGCATTGCCTGCTGCTTCTCAACTAGTTACCACTTCTGTACCAGTTCTGGCTCAAAGCGTACAGACCTGGATACAGATTCGGTACTGCTTGGACTAGACCCACTGAAATCACCAGTTAGTCCTGACTAACTTAGGCCCTGTTGATTTCAGTTTGGTCTATTCTAAGCATGACTCTGGATTCAGCTCCTAGTTTCTTTTAACAGAAAGACCTTAAGATGTACGTACCTGCTTGTCATCAGCCTTCCTTCCTCCATAAGTCTTGCATGTGGTAATATTGGGGTGGTTCTCAAATGGACGGTGAATGCAAAAAACTCCCTCAAACATTATAAAGGCAGCATGTCTCTTTGATGCAACTATGTTGTCATGTTCAGTTTCCAAAGACTGCTTTCTTAGGATGTCATTGCTCTTTTGGTCATGCAGAATAGGAAGCGATGAAAGAAGTGAGATTTTTTCCATTGGCACAGTGCCTTTTGATGAGCATATCTGTTTGTATACCCAACTCCATAAAACTATTTTGGAGAAAATACAATTATGTGTGAGGCACAACGACTTTGAACAGCTGCTAGGGAAAAGCTGAACCTGTAAAAGGTATTGTTGATTGGAAAAGGGGAGAATTTCTTCCCAATTACAGTTTGGCACGTTATCCCCAAGCTAGAAGCTCTGGAAAAGCTCACTTGAAAGGGTAAAGGAGCAAAGGGTAATCCTGTGGTAACATCACATACTTGAGTGATCAGACAGTGCTTGGGTTGATGTACTTGTGTCTGTCTGCTTTATGTACAGTGGGGAAGCTGAAGATTGTCATGCTGCATGAATTGAGAATCAGATAAGGGGATTAGATTCTAATCTTTGTACCTGTATGAGGTGAGACCTATGTATATTGAGGGAGAACAGAATCAGGTCCAATGCCAAAATGATGATGTGACAAGGCTAATTTCTGGGCCTGATCGTTTTATCATTAATAATTGGCAGGAATCCATCGTTGTAAACAGAGGCAGGACCAAAGCTATAGGATTTGACTGTTGGTAAGACTTGAGCCTGCAGTGTTGGCACCCCAGGCTGCCATGGTGGCCTAGAATTTCCATGGCTTCATTTGAGTAAAATGGGCAAAACTGCTTCAGGAGAGGCAGACAATATTCTTTGCACTGATGCAAATTGTGCAAGATTTCAGGGCTTGTAAAATCTTCGTATTCTGGTACTGAAGCATTTGCAGGAGACGAGTGTGTGAATAATTTATATACTTGAATCTACCTACCACGTTTACATTTCTCAATTCCTTTTGTAAAAGGTGCTATTTCTGTATTTAAAAAGCTGTAATTTTTTTGGTAATGTAAAAAGCTGCTTCATGTTTATAACATTGCACTGCTAGTTTATTATCTTAGTATTAACTTTATGACTTCTTGTGAATCTTCTTCACTGGTTAGAAATGACTTTCTTTCTGTCCTATATTCTTTGCTACACTCTGCATTACAAAAATTTTTAAGAACACACACTATTGTTGGGGGGATGCATTTTTATACTTTCAGTTAGACAGCTCCTAATCTTTGTAAAAGTAAAGCCAAAACGTTAAAGGGAGATGCTTCTTCGTGTTTGTTTTTTCAAGAAAGTGTTTTACTATGTAGTCCTGCAACCCTGCATTTATGGAATTGCAGAGCAGGGATTACAGAGCCTTAGACCACGCAAATCATGACAGTGTCTCCACACCCCGGGGCGCTCTGACAGGGCTGGCAAGGGTAAGAAATCAAAAGTCGTAGCTGACATTCTTTCCTGAAAGCAGCAACTAGACATATATTTCAGATAGCAGCTAAGTGGAAATTTTTCAGAAGTCAGCCACTAAATCCGCTCTCTACAGAACAACTTAGAGGCTTAATCTTGTGTCCAGGTAGCATCAGCTCATCACAAGAAAAGGCCAGGACTCCCAAGGGCACAGCAGGCACTTCACCTTCATAGGGGTCCTCTTAGCTGGTGCGGTTACACTAGACTAAAGACCTTTAGGACAGGTGCTGGGCACTACCAGCTTCCACCAAACCCAGGCTTTGCTTCAGACCTTCATTGTGAGGAGAGGAGGAATGGCCAGAACCAATCATCTAAGTGCTTTGGAGGGGGAGCAGGAGAATGGAAGGAATCTTCACCTCACTTGATTGGATGCCTGTAGCCTTCCAACCTTAGGGCTTTTTTATTTATTATTTAAAACTTTTGTATCCCGTTACCACATGCCTCGGCATCTCAGGACAACTTACAGCGCAGAATTAAAAGCAATAAAGCTAACAAATTCAATAAGATTACATAAAAACAAAAAGCGGTTGTTAATGATAAAATTAATTTTTAAAATAGTCATTAAATAAAAAGGTTATTTTTATTTGCCATAGGTTGGAGAGCTCTTATGGCACTTAACCACAACAGCCTTCCAGTTTCAGGTTATGGGCAGCCACATGAGAGTCTATGTGAAAGAAATAAATCTGAACTATTTGGAGAGAGATTAGTTTCTCCCAAATCCTCTACCTCCCAGCTAAATCCCATATGTCTAATAAGCCTTTTTGTGCCAGTTGTCTCTTGCCCATTTCTTCCAATGGCACACTGATGAGGTCTCTGGAGAGGGACCAGGATACCAGGAGCTGTTTTTTCTTGGTTAGTCATCACTCTTAAATTCTATAAAGTAGCTGTGTATGAATTTCTTTGCATAATGGAGGAGAAAATTCCAGAATTACCACCCAGTCTGCATACTGCTGTTTGATGTGTATAGATACTGAAAATCAGGCTCATGCCAGCAGCCAAGAGTGGTTATGTAATACACTAAGTGAAACTTCAGCAAAGAGCACATATGGCTTGTGGAAGAAATACATCACATCTTTGAGCAAAGTTTCTTAAACCTTAGTTCTTGTGACAGTTATAAACATGTATACTGGCACATTTTAGCACATGACAAAACAAGCCTCTATCGTGTGAAATAGTAGCATCTCAATATTTTTGAGACAAAAGTGAATTCTGTATGTGCCTGATGAAGATAGCAGGCACAAGAGGAAGGATATTTTGACTAATCCAGTGATGCAAGCTGTCCTCTGTTCTGCGGCTCACTATGCCGAGGATTTGCTTTGACTCGCCACATGATGGCAGTAGAGCTTATGTGACAAGCAAAAGGCCATGCATATTTTTAAAAGATGTGCAGGACAGGGTAGAGGGGAGCAGTGCTGATGCTCACATTCCCTTCTCGAGTG